AGTAGAGGGGTAGGGAGGGATGCAGGGGTAGGGGGTAGGGCTATTAGGGGTGAAAGGGGCAGGGTGTGGGAATGATCGGGATGTTGCAGCGATATGCCGTACCTGGTGAGGTGATGAGTTAGGTAGGGGTGTTTACGATCAGGGCTCAGGGTGCAGAAGGGAGGGGTGTAGGGTAGCACAGCTATATAATCTGGGTAGCACAGCAATATAATCTCTACCTGGTATTTCTTACATTTATCAAGAAAAGATGTGACTTTTGAGTCGACTCAAAAGTCACCTTGTAGGGTAGCACAGCAATCTAATCTGGGTAGCACAGCAATATAATATCTACCTGGTATTTCTTACATTTATCAAGAAAAAATGTGACTTTTGAGTCGACTCAAAAGTCACCTTGTAGGGTAGCACAGCAATATAATCTGGGTAGCACAGCAATATAGTCTCTACCTGGTATTTCTTACATTTATCAAGAAAAAAGGTGGCTTTTGAGTCGACTAAAAAGTCACCTTGTAGGGTAGCACAGCAACATGATCAGGGTAGCACAGCAATCTAATCTGTACCTGGTATTTCTTACATCTATCAAGAAAAAAGGCCACGGGGTTCGGATCGAGGCTGCGAGTTTGAGCTCCGGTTCTTTTGAGCAAAAGTGTTCATTGTATGAGTTCAGCTTATACAATTGCGGCAGTGCGTGCTGTGCACTCACAGATTCTGGAAGTACTGTTGAAACGTGCCTCCCTGCGGCCCCACGAAATCACTGCGTGCTGTTCGCCCCTCAGGGTCCCTCCCCATTAGCTGGTACACCAGATGCGAATGCACCGCACATGCCACCATGCCGTGCAGCTCGTGCTCTTTCACTGACCCACGAGCAGTCATGAGCAGAGGCGTGGTGTCAGGGGCAAGAGCAGGCACAAGCAGGGGTGTGGTAGCAGCAGTAACAGGGGCGTTGTTTGGAACAGCAGCATCCGCACATGCCACCATGCCATGCAGCTCGTGCTCTTTCACAGGCCCACGAGCAGACACAAGCAGGGGCGTGGTAGCAGGGGGATTGCTTGGAGCAGCACCACCCGCGTATGCCGCCATGCCATGGGGTTCTCGCTCGTTCACAGGCCCACAAGCGGTCACGAGCAGAGGCGTGGTAGGGCTACCAGAGGCATTGTGACTGGTCCTGCTGCCGCTGGTGTTTGGATCAGCAGCAGCAGCAGCAGTGGTATCAGCAGCCGCAGCAGCATTAGCAGCAGCAGCATCAGCAGCATTGCTATCAGCAGCAGCAGCAGCAGCAGCAGCAGCAGCAGCAGCAGCAGCAGCAGCAGCAGCATTAGTATCAGCAACAGCAGCAGCACCACCATCAAGAACATTATTGGTATCAGCAGCAGCAACAATCACAGCAGCAGCAGCAGCAGCAGCATTCGCATTAGCAGCCGCAGCATTGTTATCAGCAGCAGCAGCATTAGTACCAGCAACAGCAGCAGCAGTAGCAGCAGCAGCGGCAGCAGCAGCAGCAGCACCATCAGCACCATCAGCAGCAGCAGCAGCAGCAGCAGCAGCAGCAGCAGCAGCAGCAGCAGCAGCAGCAGCAGCAGCAGCAGCAGCAGCAGCAGCAGCAGCAGCAGCAGCAGCAGCAGCAGCAGCAGCAGCAGCAGCAGCAGCAGCAGCAGCAACAGCATCAGCACCACCATCAGCAGCAGCAGCAGCATCAGCACCACCACTAGCATGAGCAGCACGACGAGCAGCGTGAAGAGCATTATGATAAGCCTCACGATGAGCACGGTGTTTCAAAACCGCACTAAACCCTCCCGGACCCAGAGACACCACCCTGTCCACCGTCTCCCAGTCAATCCTCCCCATCAACATGCTCATCATATCATCATCCCCTCCCCTACGCATCATACCATCATCCCCTCCCATGCACATCATATCATCACCCCCTCCCCTGCTCATGCCATCAATCCCTCCCCCATGCTCCCCTGCGTCCACCCCTTCGCCTTCCCTGCCAGCATTCGCCTCTATACCTTCCTCCCCTCCCCCATGATTCCCTGTATCCACCCCTTCCCCTTCCCTGCCAGCATTCGCCTCTATACCTTCCTCCCCTCCCCCATGATTCCATGTATCCACCCCTTCCCCTTCCTGCCCTCTCCCAACACCCTCATGCCAGCCTGCAGCGGTCCCTCTGCCTCTTTCTTCCCCTCCTCCTCCCCCCACCAAGCAGGGATTCGTCCCTCTCGCTTCCTTCCCTCTCCCATCAGCCTCATGCCAGCCTGCAGCGGTCCCTCTGCCTCTTTCTTCCCCTCCTCCTCCCCCCACCAAGCAGGGATTCGTCCCTCTCGCTTCCTTCCCTCTCCCCTCAGCCTCTCGCAAGTCTGCAGCGGTCCCTTTGCCTCTTTCTTCCCCTCTTCCTCCCTCCCCCAAGCAGGGCAGCACGAGGCAGTAGTGGGATGCGGTCCAGAAGGCTCCAAAGGGGCGCACAGCGGTGCTGATGTGTATGGGTGCCTCACCCGCAGCAGTATCGGCCGCAGTTGTGCCAACAGCTGGTGCTGCCGCAGCAGATTCAGCTGCAGCAGCGGCAGATTCAGCTACAGCGGATTATTCAGTTACAGCAGTAGATTCAGCAGCAGCAGCAGCAGCAGCAGCGTGGGCGAGGGTGGGAGCATGCTGCATGAGGTCCCATCGATCCAATGCCATGCCGAACAGACGCATGTGGTAGCACATGGCGCTGCTCAGCTGAAAGGGAAGGCGAAGGCGGAGAAGGCGGAGAAGGGGGAGGCGGGTGAAAGGGGGGAGAATGAGGGTGCAGAGCTGACGAGTTCTGACACCTGCATGAGTTGAACCTGAACTTGAACCTGAACCTGCTGAATCACCTGAACCATCTGAACCACCTGAACCACCTGAATTACCAGAATTACCAGAATCACCTGAATCACCTGAATTACCTGAAGCACCTGAATGGTGTGAGCGCGACTGACCTGCTGAGGCGAGAAAGCGAGGGCTCCAAGAGGGGAGAGTCGGACGGATCCCGAAGCAACTGAAGGGGGTTGCGATGAAGAGCGGTGGGGTAACCCTGGTGAGGCGCCGGCAGAGGCAGCACCACCAGTAAGAGGAGCAGTAGCTGTAGCGGTAGCTGTAGCAGCTACTCCCACATCTGTAGCAGCAGGTCCCGAATCTGTAGCAGGTGGTCCCGAAGCTGTAGCAGCAGGTCCCAAATATTTAGCAGGGATTCCCGAAGCTGTAGCAGGGGGTCCCGAAGCTGTAGCAGCGGGTCCCGAGACTGTAGCAGGAGGATGTGCTGCGTCTGTAGCAGCAGGCCAGTTTCCAAAGTACTTGGAGCAAAGAGGTACTTCCATGTGTGCCACGTCAGCATCCAACGGACCAATGGCAGGCGAAGCCAACAGCATGAACCCGGAAAAACACTCTGTGCTGCGCGTCCCGTTATAAGCTTCTCCACTACTGGAGCTCGAGGAGGAGGAGAAGAAACGGAGAGAGTAGGCATGAAAGGGACCGACACTGGGACACGCTGCGATGGTAGGTCTGACTGCTGCTGACGGTTCATTTATCGCTGCTACTGCTGGCGCTGCTGTTTGCGGTGAATCATCTGCTGACGGTGCTGCTGCTGCTGCTGCTGCTGCTGCTGCTGCTGCTGGAATGGGTACTGGTGCTGACATGGCAGCAGGTGTTGCAGAGTCCGCCATTTAAAGACAGATTTCTTAGCAACGGCAGCGTGAATCAGCTTAGAAATCCCTTGCTCAATGACAATGTAGCAATCTAGAACTTTAGGAAGTATCAGCTCATTACTGAACCGCACTCTACCGAATGTAATAAAACTTTTGCTTGGTCTAATCAGATGCGCGACTCTTGAAATCCCAGTCGGCTCCCTGTAGCCTTTTGTAGGTTAGCGTGGCTTACAGGTATGTGGCCTCATTTAACTGCCTATCAAATCGCGCGTACTCTTATCCGCTGCAGAATCTTCATATATCGCGAGGCAGCGAGAACGGCGGACGACGACGAAGGAGGTGGAGCACGGATTCGTGTTTCGCCGTAAAAAGTTGCTACTGGAATCAGTGATAAATGGTTGAAAGCGCAGTAGTAGGATAGGAGGTGGCGGAGAAATGGGTCCTGAGGGTGACGGAAATCTCGAGGTTGGCATTTGGGGGAATTCATGATCAGGATAAGTGGTGGCCGCACAAACTTCCGCTACAGACTTACGCGATTTTATCCTTAAAAACTGAAAGACAGTACACGGAAAGACATGGTGAACTTCACTCCAAATCGGTATGGCTGACACACATGGACTCTTTTGTTTCACCCCATTCATCCCGCAACCGACGTACTACCACACTCCCTCGTAAACACTCACCACAGGCAACACCGCTTCCTCCTCAACCTCAATCTATGTCCTAAGCGCCCCTCCTTCCTCAATTTCAACCCTATCACTCCCCATATCGTGTGTGCATGGAGATACATTTCAGCATGCACCACCATCATACAGTAAGATTGTCCATGCCGTTTCGTATGCCACGTTACAGATCTACATAAATCCCATCCCCAGCCTCATTACCATAATCTACCACCACAAACTGATATTTACAAAGCTACTTGGCACTGGCGGGCCACTCTTTGGCGGCTAGGGCTTGTAACACTGCTGCGGCTGTCCATCGTTTTGCTGCCTTTTTCGAGGGCATTGATATACCTTCAACCCGCACCACCGTAGATCCGTCAGCTGCTTTAACCACACAATCTATGCAATGGCCGTCACCTAGAAACCTGAAAATCAAAGATCTGGTATTAGTAATCGGAACAGCATGGATCTCACTGCTTGGTGGATTAGCCAATGAATGTAATAAGTTACATACCTGGGAGCACCAGTGTTTTGAGACGTCTCAAAACACTTCTTTTATCACATACCTGGGAGCACCAGCGTTGCCACCAGCAGGTTCACAGCTGGCACCACCAGCCGCCTCCCAACCACCACCAGCCGCCTCCCAACCACCACCAGCCGCCTCCCAACCACTACCAGCCGCCTCCCAACCACCACCAGCCGCCTCCCAACCACCACCAGCCGCCTCCCAACCACCACCAGCCGCCTCCCAACCACTACCAGCCGCCTCCCCGCCACCACCAGCAGCCTCCCAGCCACCACCAGCCGCCGCCTCCCAGCCACCACCACCAGCAGCACCGGTAGAACCACCAACGATTGAATCACCACCGTTGATTACACCACCATTGCTAGATCCACCACCATCTATTGGCGCATCCCCACCAACAGTAGCAGCAGCAACAGCAGGAGCAGCAGCAGCTGCAGCAGCAGTTGCAGCAACAGCAGGAGCAGCAGCAGTTGCAGCAGCAGCAGGAGCAGTTGCAGCAACAGCAGCAGCGACAGCAGCAGCCGAGGTGCTCCCAGCAGCACTAGTCCCACCTTGTGCGGATCCATACCCATTCCTACCTACAGTAGCCTTGGTATTTGAAGTAGGAGACATTGTTCTATCACTGTAAACTAGCATCCACCGCCGCGCCATGCACGCGTTATTCAGGGTAGTTACAGCCTTCGGACCTGGCTCACAGCCTCGGAACCCACCCAGGGCGTCCGGAGCGGCCGAACCTATCGTAATCTCCCTTTTTACTGCTCCTGCTGCAGCAGCTGCTGCTGCCACCCCTTCCTTTGCTGCAGCAGCTCCTGCTGCCACCCCCATCCCTGACTTCCCTCGCTTCCTCTTCCTTCCTCCTTCCTTCCTCGTCCCACCATTACAATCGCCTTTTCCTCCTTTCTCAACAGAACCCTCAGTCACAACTCCCTCCATACCTGCTACACCTTCTTCTCCCCCTGCCTTCGTCTTCCCACCATTACATTCACTATTCCCTCCTTTCTCAACAGAACCCTCAGTCAGTCCTCCCTCCATACCTGCTACACATTCGTCTCCCCCTGCCTCTTTCCCCACTTCACCCTCCGTTCCTCCCTCCTCCATTCCCTCATCGCCTTCCTCTGCCTGCATCTCCCAGGCATCCCTCATAGGCCCCAGAGCCCATGCCCCCTCTGCCTCCTGAAACAGCTGCTTGAAGCCCTGTACAGTCTGGGGGGCGGCAAGGAGGAGGGAGAGGGAAGAGGGGAGAGGGGAGAGGGAATCATGGGAGTGGGATTACCTCCTCTCAACACCCACTCCCCATCTGCCTCCTGGCACAGCTGCCGAAAACCCTGCACAGTCTGAGGGGGCGAGAAGAAGAGGCAAGGAGGCAGGAAGAGAGACGGAAGACAAGTGGAGGAGGTCGTTTGGGAAGAAGGCAGGAATTCATGCGAGCACCCGCTTATTTAAAAGCTCTCAGAGCCCCCAACATGCGCGGCCCCTTCTGCCTCCTAATACAGTCAAGCTCACATCTCCAGCAGTTGATTCCATTCCACTGCTCATATACACTCACCTCACTACATTCACACCAGTACAATCACATATATGTTCATTGCACTCACCTTGGCTCTTCTCAGCACATCAGAAGCTGCTTCCACCGTTGCTGCCAAATCATCCATCCCCCACCCCTTTCCCAGCACCACCCCTCTCACCTCCACTTCCATCACCACCCCCTCCTCCTCCTCCCCTCCTCCTCTTCCCCTCACGCCCTTTTCACACAGCCCATCATCCCCTCCTCCACCTTCCACGTCTCTTCCACACAACACCCCCCCCTCCCTTTCCCCACCCTCCTCATCCTTCCATGCCCCATTCCCATCCCCTTCCCCCACTGTTTCCCCTTTTCCCCACTCCCGGGCCCACTCCTCCCTCCATTGCTCTCCCCACTGCTCCCCCCCACCCCCGCTCCCCTGAGGCTTGGGCGCGTAAATGGGGGCGGGAAGGGAGAGAGCCCCGCAGAACAGGAGCAGAGCGGATGGGGGATGGCAGGAGAGAGGATGCAGCAGGGGGATGGGGCATAGCAATAAGGAAACTACGTGCCACGTGCGGGCGAGAGGGCATGGAGGACGGAGAGGTGCGCGGGGATTGAGTGTGGTGAGAGCGGCGTTTGGAGGAGTGGAGTCGAGGAAGACTGCTGCTGTGAGGGCCTTGATTAGATCAGAGACGTCCTGTTGGGGGGGGGGGGGAGGGGGGCAAGGGGGGAGTTGTGTGTGGTGTGGAGAAAGGAGGTGAGGACGGCAACAAAACAAAAGAAATTTGGAAAAGAGGAGTGAAGTAAGCAGAGGATAATATCATAATAGAAGTTAGAACAGTGAATCATAGCTTTAAAATAGGTAAGGCGGTCAGATCAAACTGAAGCCATGCCATGCATGCACCACTTTTGAAAATTCTCGAGCGTGATAAGAGAATTGTGAACCAAGAAGCAGCAATGTGAATGCTACATCATCGATAGGTTTGGAAAGTGAGGTGCAGTAAGACAAATGCTGCGGAGAGGTACTGTTAGCTTGAGCAAGGGGGGATGCCCTTGACTTTGTACCCTCATGCTGGCTTTAACTCAGTGAAAGCGGATGGCACTGAGAATACTTATGTTTGTTCAGACGTGGTCCAGTGATCGACCGCATTAATAAGCAAAACGAGGCAAGACTGTCCTCATGTGAGACTGAGTATATGGATATCATCACGGGGCCAAGAATACTTGACAATGAGATGGCTGAGAATTTTATTGGAGGAGATCGGGGTTGGTGAGAAGGAGCCGACGATGATGTTTTGTGACAATGAGATGGCTGTGACATTGACATTGGCCAAGAATACTTGACTGCATGCACTGACAAGACACATTAAGATAGATTTCTGTAAGAGTGGCTGTGGTTGTATGACTATAAGCTACCTTGGTAAATAGCTTATGTATCTGTCGATTTTTGAGTCAACTCAAACATAAAACATTTTGAGTCGGCCCTTTTTTTTTTTTTTTTTTTTTTTTTTTTTTTTTTTTTTTTTTTTTTTTGCTTTTGCCGACCACAAAAGTCGTATGGCTATACGATACGGTACCATGGGAAATGGTTTATGCCCTTCGATGTTGTCGTCCTCGTCGCCGTCGCCATCATTCTCCATGTCAGCATCCATGTCCTCAAAATGACTTCTCAAACCTCCAGTAATTTGAATGCGAGCTTGATCCATGAGCGCGAGTCCAATCATGTCTTCCCTCCTCTTCTTTCGCTTCTCTTCCCTCTCACCTTCTGCCCCACCCTCCTCCTCACTCGTGCCTGTCGGCTCTACCCTCCTGCTCATGCCTTCTCTGCTGCTACCCTCTTTCTCCATCCCCTCGTGCTCCCCTTCCTCTTTCCCCTCCCCTTTCCCTTCCTCCTTCCCCACCTCCTTCCCGGCCCCCTTCCCTTCCTCCTTCCCCTCCTCTTCCCTAGCTGTTTCACCAACAACACCATAAGCCTTTGCCAGCCTAGCAGCCCTATCAACAGCAGCCTTTGCCACCCTAGCAGCCCTATCAGCAACAGCCTTCGCCTCCCTAGCGGCCCTAACAGCAGCAGCAGCCCTATCAGCAGCAGCCTTTGCCAACCCCGCAGCCTTATCAGCAGCAGCTTTCGCCACCCTAGCAGCCCTATCAGCAGCAGCCAAGTCTTCAGCAGCCTTCGCCGCCCGCTGTATCTTGCGCACCAATCGCAGCAGCCCACGGCACACCGCCAGCTGGAAGAATCGCTCTGTGTGGTCCATGACCTTGCGCAGGTTCGTTAGCTGGTGAGGGGACGGCCGGGCGGCGTGCGCTGACGTGGCAGCGTGCAATGACATGGCTGCGTGCAATGACGTGGCATGTGGTGACGTGGCGGCAGGAGAATGGGCCACCACAAACGTTGCTTGTACCCAGTAGTGCATGACGAGAAACTCCAACACAGCTTCTCCCAGGAACACAAACCGTCTCTCCCACCTCAACTCCTCCTCCCGTATCGCCTCCCTCAGTATCCCCTTATTTCTGAATCGATACCCCATCGCATTCTGAAGCTCCGACAGCCAACCAGCTGCTGCCACGTGGCGCCTGGGGTTCATTCTGGCAATGGAAGGTTCCAGGAAGCTGGGCTGTTGGATTTGCTGAGCTGGCGGTGTGTTGTCTGGTTCTGGTGGGAGAGATTGCTGCTGCTGCTGCTGCAGCAAGCATTTTACAGCCTGCACACCCTGCACCTGCTGCTGTTCCTCCTGCTGCCCCTCCTGCTGCTGCACGCATTCCCCTTCAAGCAGCTTACGCCGCTTCTCTGGCGGCTGACGTGGCAGAACGAACGGCTGTCTAGTTGGCTCCCATGCGTGCTTGCTGCCACTCACCCTTCGCTCCGATTCTCGTGCTCCCATCTCTCCCCTCAGCAGCTCCCCCGCGCCCTCTGTGGGCACGTCCAGTGCCATATCTGGGTTTGCTGCAACGCCCACCACCCCTCTCTTTGCCACCCCCTCCGCCTCTCTCCCCCTCCACCCCATCTCTCCCCTCAGCAGCTCCCCCGCGCCCTCTGTGGGCACGTCCAGTGCCATATCTGGGTTTGCTGCAACGCCCACCACCCCTCTCTTTGCCACCCCCTCCGCCTCTCTCCCCCTCCACCCCATCTCTCCCCTCAGCAGCTCCCCCGCGCCCTCTGTGGGCACGTCCAGTGCCATATCTGGGTTTGCTGCAACGCCCACCGCCCCTCTCTTTGCCACCCCCTCCGCCTCTCTCCCCCTCCACCCCATCTCTCCCCTCAGCAGCTCTCCCACGCCCTCTGTCGGCAGGCCCAGCCACCTCAGCACCGGGACCGCCATGTCAGCGCCGCCACACCGCCAGCTGGCGCCCACCAGTACCTCTGCCACGTCAGCGAGCGTTTTATTGGCCAGCTTGCGTGCTGACTTGGCGGCAGCTGCTGCCTGCGCCGCTGCCAGCGAGGCGAAGGCACAATCCAAAAGGGCTTTGGGGCTAGGAGAAAGGTTCTGGGAAGCTGCGGTAGCTCGTGAGTGTGAGGGGGAGTGTGGTTGGGGGAGTGGGTGAGAGAGAGAGTTAGCCAGAAGCAGCACAGTTCGGGACAAGGGAATGAGGGGGCCGACCCATTCAGAGGGTCTGAAAGGCTTGCAGCGAACGAGGGCAGGCACTCCGGCTTTAACTGCCAACGCTGCGAGGTACTGGTTGGATACCAGGCGCATGCGCTGCTGTTTCATGTCATCGTATGTTGGCCGAGAGGGGTGGCTGTCAGTGTGTGTCGGCAGGGAGTCGTTGCTTTCATGGTGAGATTTACTCCCCTTCATGTAATCATATGTCGGCAGGGAGGGCTGGCTGTGCGGCGGTGCATGTGATGGCATCGAGGCATTGCCACTACTCTGCCCGTGCACATGCCCATGGCTATGCCCGTTCCCACCGTTTTGCCCATGCTTATGCTTATGCCCACGCTTCTGCTTATGCCCACGCCCGTTATTCTGCTGCTGACGTGGCAGCTGAGTGGCAAACAGGTGGCAGGAGGCAGCGATCTGCACACAGCTGTCACCGAGAATTTCGTCCAATTCGTAAGTGCCCACGCCGCTCTTTGTGTTGCCGGGGCATGTGAGCGCACGCAGGAGCTGATGGCAAGGAGGGGGAAGGGAGAAGGAGGGGGAAGGGAGAAGGAGGGGGAAGGGAGAAGGAGGGGGAAGGGAGAAGGAGGGGGAAGGGAGAAGGCGGGGGAAGGGAGAAGGAGGGGGAAGGGAGAAGGAGGGGGAAGGGAGAAGGAGGGGGAAGGGAGAAGGATGGGGAAGGGAGAAGGAGGGGGAAGGGAGAAGGAGGGGGAAGGGAGAAGGAGGGGGAAGGGAGAAGGAGGGGGAAGGGAGAAGGAGGGGGAAGGGAGAAGGCGGGGAAGGGAGAAGGCGGGGGAAGGGAGAAGGCGGGGGAAGGGAGAAGGCGGGGGAAGGGAGAAGGAGGGGGAAGGGAGAAGGAGGGGGAAGGGAGAAGGAGGGGGAAGGGAGAAGGAGGGGGAAGGGAGAAGGCGGGAGAAGGGAGAAGGAGGGGGAAGGGAGAAGGAGGGGGAAGGGAGAAGGCGGGGGAAGGGAGAAGGCGGGGGAAGGGAGAAGGAGGGGGAAGGGAGAAGGAGGGGGAAGGGAGAAGGAGGGGGAAGGGAGAAGGAGGGGGAAGGGAGAAGGAGGGGGAAGGGAGAAGGCGGGGGAAGGGAGAAGGCGGGGGAAGGGAGAAGGAGGGGGGAGGGAGAAGGAGGGGGAAGGGAGAAGGAGGGGGGAGGGAGAAGGCGGGGAAGGGAGAAGGAGGGGGAAGGGAGAAGGCGGGGGAAGGGAGAAGGCGGGGGAAGGGAGAAGGAGGGGGGAGGGAGAAGGCGGGGGAAGGGAGAAGGAGGGGGGAGGGAGAAGGCGGGGAAGTAAGGGAGAAGTTGAGGGTGTGGGGGGATGAGCTGCACGCAGCTGTCACCCTGCACTTGGTTATGTGCCGGGGCATGCGAGCGCACGCAGGAGCTGATGTCAGGGGGAAGTAAGGGAGAAGGAGGGGAAGGAAGATGGGTAGGGGGTGGGTGGACAGGGATGGTTGGGGTGCACGAGTGGAAGGGAAGAGCGAGCTGCACGCAGCTGTCACCCTGCACTTGGTCACTCTCGTATGTGCCAATGCAGCTCCCTGTTGTGCCGGGGCAGGTGAGGGCACGCAGGAGCTGAAGGTGGGTGAAAGGGGTGGGGAGTCGTGGAGTGAAGTGAAGGGGAGGGTGGGGATGTTGGTGCGTGGGTAGGGCGGGTTGGAGCCCAATGGCTTTGGTCCTTGTTGATAACGCGGTGCAGTGCGGTGCAGTGTGGTGTAGTGCAGTGCAATGTGGTGCCGTGCGGTTCAGTGCGCTACAGTGCAATACAGTACAGGCAGAGGCGTGACTCACATCAATAGCAGGAAAACGGGGTTCCTGCTGCACCTGCTGCTGCCCTTCCCCACTACACCCGCCACCACCACACCTCCACCTCAGCGACCCTCCACCACCAGTGCTGCTTTGAGTCGACTCCAAATGAGCCGTGTTTTGAGTCGACTCCAAATGAGCCGTGCTTTGAGTCGACTCCAAATGAGCCGTGTTTTGAGTCAACTCAAAACACTGCTGCACCTGCTGCTGCCCTTCCGAACTACACCCGCCACCACCACGCCTCCGCCTCAGCGATCGACCAACGAGTGCACTGGCACCAGCGAGTCAAGTCAAAAGTCACCTCGTTACAATGGCACCTTCCCCACTACACCCGCCACCACCACACCTCCGCCTCAGGGACCCTCCACCTCCAGTTCTGCCGCTCTCGCAATTCCTCTCGCAATTCCCTTTGCAATTCGCCTTCGCAAGTCCCCTGATGCTCACACCCGTACTGCCTCACGAGGAACCGCCGGATATTGAGACGTCTCAAAAGTTCACAAGCTCACTAGTGCAGTGCAGTGCAGTGCAGTGCAGTGCATGAGAGTGACTCACATCAATGGCATGAAAATGCGGTGCCTGCTGCCCCTGCCGCGTGCACCCAGACTGCCTCACGAGGAACCGCCGGATATCCCGGGCAGTGAGCAGGCAGTCAAGGCGGGAGAGCAGCGAGGGGAGCAGCGAGGGGAGCAGCGCCGTGCAGGGCAAGTGCAGTGCAAGTGCAAGTGCAAGTGCAAGTGCAAGTGCAGTGCAAGTGCAGTGCAAGTGCAGTGCAAGTGCAGTGCAAGTGCAGTGCAAGTGCAGTGCAAGTGCAGTGCAAGTGCAGTGCAAGTGCAAGTGCAGTGCAAGTGCAGTGCAAGTGCAGTGCAAGTGCAGTGCAAGTGCAGTGCAAGTGCAGTGCAAGTGCAGTGCAGAGCAGTGCAGTGCATGAGAGTGACTCACATCAATAGCAGGAAAACGCGGTGCCTGCTGCCCCTGCCGCTCACACCCGTACTGCCTCACAATGAACCGCCGGATGTTCCGGGCAGTGAGCAGGCAGTCAAGGCGGGAAAGCAGCGAGGGGAGCAGCGAGGCAAAGAGCACGTGCTGCAGTGGCAGCACCGGCACCAGTAGCTCCAACGGGAGGTATGATGTCTGCCGCCCCCTGCCCTTCTCCCTGCCCTGCTGCTCCTCATTAGCTCCCTCCTCCTCTTGCTTCTGCTCCTCCTGCTTCTGCCGCTCCCTTGCTGCACCCGTGTCTGCTGCACCCGTGTCTGCTACAGCCACGTCTGCTGCAGCCTCATTTGCAAAAGCCTTGCCTGCGTCTGTTCCATTCGTCTCTGCTCCAGCCTTATCGACTACAGCATTGTCAGCTGCAGCCGTCTCTCTCTCTGATACAGCCGTGTCTGCTACAGCCGTGTCTGCTACAGCCGTGTCTGCTACACCCGTGTCTGCTACAAGCGTACCAGCTACAGCCATATCCACTGTAGCACTGGCAGGTTCAGGCATCTGCTCTAAGTGCTCTGATTGGACAGCCCTGTTGACGAAATCAAAAGTGTCCACTGAGAGAGGGAGGGGAGGAGCCACGGGTGATAGATCGGGGTTATAAAGGGGAGATAAGCAGGAGAGCTATGTCGGTGGTGTTAGTTTTGAGAAATTTCTAAAGGAGTCCCGGGTGATGGATTGGGGTTATAAAAGGGAGATAAGCAGGAAAAGGGTATTCACATTAACGCCTCAAAACTCGTCTACCCACATGATTGCGCAGCCCTGTTGACGAGGCCCAGAGTGTTCACTGAGAGAGGCGTGATGGGGGGGAGACTTTTGAGTCGACTCAACAGTCACCTTGATTGGACCGCCCTGTTGACGAGGTTCACAGTGTTCACTGAGAGAGGCAAGAGGGGAAAGGGGATTGTAACCGTGCCTTGTTACCGTACTTGTGTAACTGCCATGCTTGGACAGCCTTTTTGACAAGAACGAGAACCACAGTGTTCATTGAGATAGGGAGGATGGAAGGGAGAAAGGCGAGGAAATAAATTTGAGACACTCTTGAGAAATTTAAGACTGGTTCATAGAGCAGAATGGGATGGCCCTGATGACAAGGTTCAAATGGCCAATGACAGAGAGAGGGTGGATGGAAGGGGTTGGGTGCAAGGGGTTGGGTGGAAGGGAGGGTGGCGGAAGGGAGGGTGGTGGAAGGGAGGGTGGTGGAAGGGAGGGTGGTGGAAGGGAGGGTGGTGGAAGGGAGGGTGGTGGAAGGGAGGGTGGTGGAAGGGAGGGTGGTGGAAGGGAGGGTGGTGGAAGGGAGGGTGGTGGAAGGGAGGGTGGTGGAAGGGAGGGTGGTGGAAGGGAGGATGGTGGAAGGGAGGGTGGTGGAAGGGAGGGTGGTGGAAGGGAGGGTGGTGGAAGGGAGGGTGGTGGAAGGGAGGGTGGCGGAAGGGAGGGTGGCGGAAGGGAGACCTGCAAGCATACAGAAGCACTGACAAGCGGGCTGGGTCGCTACACATGTAGTGGCCATGGAGAGAAGGCCAGTGTGCACACATGTAGAGGCCCTGTCTGCGAGCATACACAAGCACAGACAAGCGGACTGGGTCGCATATCGATACACATGTAGTGGCCATGGAGAGAAGGCCAGTGTGCACACAATGCACACACGCACGCACGCACGCACGCACGCACGCACGCACGCACGCACGCACGCACGCACGCACGCACGCACGCACGCACGCACGCACGCACGCACGCATGCACGCACGCACCCCCCCTCCCCCCCCCCCCCCCCCCCCCCCCCCCCCCCCCCCACACACACACACGCGCGCGCGCGCGCGCACACACACACACACACACACACACACACACAGTGTCACTTACATTTTGGCGGCGCCTGCAGCAGCAGTGCATTGTGCAGCTCTGGCTTCAGCTGGCATGCAACAAACAGAGGCTGGTCGGGGTGCTGCAGCAATATGTTGTACCTGGCGAGGGATTAGACGTATCAGGGTTGGGAGTGCACAAGGGTAAGGGTGTAGGGGTTTGGCAATGTGTGCAGCATCAGCAGTGCATTGTGCAGCTCTGGCTTCAGCTGGCACGCAGCGAACAGAGGCTGGTCGGGGTGCTGCAGCATCAGCAGTGCATTGTGCAATACCTGGTGAGGGGGTTTGGGGTGACAGGGTCAGAACTCAGAACTTTCAAATTCCCAGGTCAGAACCCTAAACCCTTTCAAAGGCTTTGGATTGAAGGTAAGGAGTTTGTCGTTTGTGGCTTTTGGCCTG